ATAATCAATCTTCAATAAAGTCATTATCACATTTTTCCTCCCCAACAACAATGTCTTCTCCCACAATACCACAATTTTGATGTTAAATAAAACAAAACCAATTGTGATAGAAATTAATTCTTTTAAAAATCATCAATTTTGATTCCTGAAATCTGTTCACTTTGTCGTGGTGTAACAATATATATAAATATAGCAGACAAATGCGGGCAAACATAAAATGCAGCGTCAAATGTTTGGGCGTACCGAGATAATAATGTAGTATTAGTATTTGCATTAAGTTTTTTTCCACATTTCCCCGCCTACTTGTAATGGGACTTTTAGCAAGAGAACATACCAATATTAGTATAATAATAAAAAGTTGTAGGTTCCAACCCCAAAAATCAATGCAGTTTTTTTTATTATTATCATCATTATTAATAATACAAAGTAATCTATAATATTTGTTTTGATGATAAATGGCTAAATAAAATTTTTCTTTCCTTATACTAAGCTTGTAAACAAATTACAAAAATACAATAAACAACTAATCGTGTCTTGTCTATATCTGTAATAGGTTGATTAATATAAAATGAAAGCCAAGAACTTTACTAAATAAAATTTTGAATCTATTAAAGCAAATGCAAATCCTTTTTTTTTTGTGCAGAACATATCGGATATGTAGAAATATATAGAATCCCATCATTTATAATAATTTCATATATAATTAATAATTGACGAATCAATAAATCGATCTGAGATGTTTCAATGTCTACTATAAATGATGTTTTTTTTTGAAATACAAGCCCAATGAGGTACTTCTTGATTGTATAGTGAAGCATATAAATTGTCATAAAAACTAAATTTGTAGATTTATAATCTATTCAAATCACTTCCTGTAGATCCAAATTTAAATTATCCATCTCTAATATCTAAACTTGAAAATTTCTCCATTAATTTCAACCATATTACATAAATTCATCAATAATTTCTCTAACAAATGAATGGCAAAGAGATTTTTTCTCTTGAGTTTAGCACAAACAATGTAACAGAATGATTTTCTCATTTATATATTCATCATCCCAGTTAAAAAAATAACCTGAAATTTCACACCAGGTCTTTTAGTTCTACTATGCCAACTATGCCTATTTTTGTTAATACCAGTTCAAATATAATTTGTCCGAAGTCCTCTTGTAACACTTTAAATTATCATTTATTCATTTATCGAACTATGCGCGGCAAACAAATTACGTGTAAAAGAAATGACACATAATAAATATACTTGTATAATGTATTTATTTATATAGTAAGTAATAGATAAAATATAAACATGAGATATAATAAACGCGTCATTACTATACACATATACATATATAAATAGTATAATATAAAATGATATTTAAATTAGATGAAACTTTTTGTTCTTCCTTTTCTTTTCTTCCTCCTTTTAGTATTAATATTACCATTAATATTACTAGTATTATCATTCTTGTCATCTTTTTTAAACAAAGTAGAAATAATATTTTTATTAAAATGAGTAATATTCTTTAATTTTTCATTATAAGAGTCGAATTCTTGTTTTATTTCTTTTGCTGATTTAAATTTTGGTAAATGTTTTACTAAATAATAAAATTCAATTATTTCTTTTGACGTTTTCGTGTCATTTAAATTTTTTTTAATTAAATCAAAATCTTTATCATTTTTCATATATGTAGCCAAAAAAATTTTTTGTTGCTTTAATGACCATTTCGATAAAACTTCTAATCTAGGTGTAAATGAATCTTCTGATGGTAAAGATGACGGTGGTGAAGATGAAGAGGTGTTAAGGGTGGAAGATGCTGTTAAAGACGTTATTGGTGTTGATGTGGTCGGTGGTACAGGTGATGACGTTGTTAAAAAAAAGGAAAAAGCATTTACAGTTTTTAATCTTTTTGAATTATTTTTTCCTGTTGATGATGACGACGATGATGACGACGATGACGCTATTAAATCAGGTATTGGAGCAGCTCTTTTTAAATAATACCTTTCATCTTTAATAATTTTTACTGGTCTATTATTTGCCAATTCAAACTTTTCATATTCTTCTTGAAATTCAATTTTATTTACATTATTCCGAAGTCTTGTCGCAGGCCCTGAAATTGGTAATTTAAGTTTTTTTGCTATTCTTTCACCTTTGTTTTTTCTAAAATGTGAAGGGGACGACAACGACGATGGTTTATTATTATTATAATTATTATTGTTTTTGTTGCTATTATTATTATTATTATTATTATTATTATTAGGATTTGGTTCCGTATGTGAATTATCATGATTTTTTTGTTTTTGATTTGAATTATTATTGTTGTTGTTGTTTCTGTTGTTGTTGTTTTTGTTGTTATTGTTTCTGTTGTTGTTATTATTGTTGTTATTTTTATTATTATTATTGTTATTGTTATCATCATTTTTAGTTTCTTTGAGATTTAAAGGTGTTAGTGATGATATCTCAAGTGGGGAAATTAATAATTTATGATTCTTAAATGAAGGCGATGACGGTAAAGATATTGATGTTGAAGGAAATTGTGGTATTGTGGGAGAAGACATTGTTGTTGGGGAGGAAAAATGTGATAATGACTTTATTGAAGATTGATTAT